ACAGAAATCTGCTATCTTTATAGTTTTATATAACAGTAGTACTGAAAGGAAGGTACTACTATATTATTTTCATTTTGGATTGATCTGAAAATTGGCTATTGGCATAATACCTGAAAGAGCAAACAGTTATGAAAGTTTAATAATATGGAATGCTTATTTCTTGTAGGTTATTCCTCAGGATACTGCTGATGCTGCACCAGAAGATGGTGTTTATATCCGTGGATTATTTTTAGATGGAGCTCGCTGGGACAGGAACAAGTCAGTAACAAAGTGGTTTACTATGGTTCTGGAAAGCTTTCTTTAGGTGCTCAAATGAGATTTGTTTAAATATTTTAAGTGATACTTTTCACATTATTTAAATAACACACCAAATGAAATACTCTTTCATGCATGGAAAATGAGGAATTAAAAAGAAAGGCAAACTCAAGCAAGCAACAACCCAAAACCACAAGCCAAAACCCTCTTTGGTTTAACACCAACCCACAAATAATTACTTTGTTTTCTCTCACCAGGGGAATGTTAGCTGAGCAGTATCCCAAATTGCTCTTTGATAAGATGCCAATCATTTGGATAAAGCCAAGTGAGTATAGTTTCTGTGAAGTGTGAGCTATTCAGCAAGAAATTGCAACAGTGAACTTCTTTCTTACAGATCAATGCTCCTACCCTCATGAAAGTATGCAAATTTGCATCTGACCTGTGACTTTTACATAAAAAATTGGGCCTACTAGCTTGACTCAGTTTCATCTCATCTGGGCAATAGGCCTGTCCCTCTCCCCACAGATGTTTATAATTATGGATTAGACAAAAGGACTAGTTAAATGAATTTTTTTAATAAATATGTTTAGGTGCTGCCCAATCTGTTTTTCAACCAAAAGGTAATTTGAGTAGGAAAGCACATGGTGTTGGAAGTCCTGGCTCTACTCAAGTTGAGGAGAACTTTTAATTGACTTAGTGTTTTACCTCACATGATTTAGCAAGGTTTGCTCAGGTTATTTTTAGCTGCTATGCTAGTTGTCTGTCACACTAATAATACATTTTCCAGAACTCTTGTTGTCTTTGACCAGGAGCAGTGAAACTCTGTTTTTATTTATTGATTTAAGCAGGACTTTCTACTGCAACTGTTGCAACTTAGATGTTATTAGCCAACAGGCAGTCTTAGAGAGTTTTCACTTTTTCTGCGTACATTACTCTTGAGGTTGGATGAATCTGTACAGATACGCATGATTTTAGACCTTGCACAAGTTGCATGTAAGCAGTCTAGGCATACAAAGAGTTCCTGCAGACTTGTGTCCTTGGATCTCAGGTGACTCAAATTGCAGTTAGGTTCTGTGGCTGCTGGGCCAGAATTCTTGTGGAACTGTTAAAAACTCATGTATGATCTATGCTTTAACTATGTTACAATTCAGATTTTAATGTGTCTTTGAATGATTACAAAGCTGGTAGAATCACAGAAAGGCATCGAGTCCGGAAAAACAAATTGTAATTAAAATAGTTGGGTTTAAAACCAAAACAAGCTGCACAAGAAAACACACAAAAAAGACAAGTAATTTTATTATGTTACACAACAATTTTGCATTTTTATTTAGCTTTAAGGATGTTACTTTAAATACTTAATATTTGTATGTAGATCTGCTGAAAGTAATATATTATTTTGATATTATTTTTTTAAGCTGCAAAATCAGACATAAAGAAATCGAATGCATATGTTTGTCCACTCTACAAGACAAGTGAGCGTAAAGGAATCTTATCTACTACTGGACATTCTACTAACTTTGTCATCGCTTTGATGCTTAACACGGATAAACCAGTCCAACACTGGATCAAGCGAGGTGTTGCGTTGCTCTGCCAGCTGGATGACTAACATTGGACAGTTCATATACAGCCTTCGCAAGATCCCATTCTTTTGTGGGCTTACAGAGGAAGTGGAACATACTGTGTAAAAGAAACATCTAGACTTTTTTATTTTAAAAGAGGGCATGCAAATATTTTCTGATCCTCAGTATTTTGTCTTAAGTATGTGTTAATATTAGCATCTTTACAATCTATAAAAGGTAATATTATTAATATGTAAACATCAATTTTATGCATTACTTGAATATCACAAAGTATATCTTAATGGAAAATGAAAATAGTCTGCACTTCCTGAGAGTAACATTAGAGTTAATGAAGCATTAAAAGTACTGAAAGCTAGTAGGTAGTAAGTTTTGGAATTTCAGTCTGGATTTATATATAGCCTATATTCTGTCATAGCAGCAGCAAAGATTACAGTATGAGAAATCGTTTAACTGTCTATAGTAGGTACTTCTGATGCCGTCCTTCCTCAGCAAATTAATCTTTTCAGAATTTAATTCAGATATTTTGATTTCTGTAAGGGGTTTTTTTCCAAATACTTTCTGTGAAGAATAAATGATAAAACTCCCTTATGACCACCTGCCATAAAACGTTATGTTTCCATATTGCTCCAGAGAGGCAGCCCAGTTTCAATTCCTTCACTGATTCAGCACTTTTGTTTTCTTTAAAAAAAAAAATAAAAAATTACTCAAGCATTCTTCCTAGATCTCCTCTAGCAAAGAACTATTTCTGCCTTGCATTCAGACACCACCATCATAATTTCTTTGTAAGGATCCCTCTGTAAAATACAGTAGGAGTAAATTAAGCACATGAAGGTCTCCCTCCATCCTATGGTCACTATTGTAACTAGGCACCTGTGTCCTTCATTTCCCCAGTTATTGTGTGTTACACCAGCATAAGTTTTTGGCATAGGTCTGTCTTTCTGAAACTGTGCTTTTGCCTTTGAAGACTCTATATGGGGGTTTTTTTTGTTTACTTTTCTATTTATATTAATATATGAATTGTGATTAGGCAATCAGAAAAACATAGTAATTTTTAATAAGAGTTCTTGCTTGATTTTATCTGCTTGTTATGTTTACTTTTATTGGTTTTAGTTTTTCTTGTTACGCTGTCTTACTCTTTTAAGTAAGCTCCTAACAGTATCTTCAGTTTACTCTCTTAGGAAAGCACTGAAGAATTTTCTTTCTGTAATGTAATAGTTACTACTTACAGTTCTCAAATTCTCATTCCAAAAACTTTTAACAAGAGTATTTTTACAAAGAAACTGGACTTTTAATTCCTTCTTTTGCTGACACCGTTTGTCAGGGCAGATTAGTAAACATAACTAACCTGTATGAAAGAAACATGGAGAAAGTCCCAGAGTATCTTATGATCGGGTATTTATAGTGAGCTATTAATGGACATAGGCTCTACTGAGATCATTTTCAATCCTGAAAATATCACTTTCAACATAATAATCACTTCTTCAAGGTATGAGGTCTTCCCTCTTTCAGAAGGTGAGGAAAAACTGTATTTCATTTTCATAGAAAAATTAGTAGTCTTTTTATAAAAAAGAAATAGTCTAGATTTAAAGTGTTTATATACTCATGGTACTATGGGTATAATCAAGTACTAACAGTTACTTGTCTATTTTGTTAATATATTTCTCTTTTTTGCTACATGTGCAATTACAGAGCAAGGCCTTGCAATCAAACATTAGGTGGATCAGGTAACAAATTAAATGATGCAGGTTTGTTATGAATTCCTGCTGCTCAACTTTAAGATGTTTCTAGAATTATTCCAAACTATGTAAGTGGCATGTTGACAACTTTCTTCATTTTGCTGTGCTCATTCACTTACTTGCTTTCAGTTTTACTTATTCATTTTATTTTACTTTGTGCTGTATTTTTGGTTGTTTTTTTACTTGAAAGACAGAAGTGGAAGTTTTGATAAGGTAAAACAGATGAGAGGTTTGACCCTACAGAACATCTGTGACTTTAATCTATAATAGCATGTAGCCGAATATATAAAACAACAGTGTCACTGCTTATGTATATAACAGTGTACATCTACACACATTATACTATTGCATGATTGATTTGATCGTTAATATTTTTTTATGATTTCTTCTGAAATTTTAACATTTAGACTTAACAGAGAGTACCAGTGGAATTTATTTCTATGCTTCGTTGTTTGTATTACAATCTTAAAAGGGTAAAAATATTTTAAATTGAACCCTTTCGATTTGGCAAACTTTTTTCTTTTAAACTAATGCAATTCTTAAGCTTTTTTCTTTTTTTCTATTAACTCCATTGTGGTTACACCAGTGTGTTTTATTTCTGCCTGTATTTGGATATATACTGTTGCAGTATTTTATATATATCCCTTACAAGTATTTGAAAAAAACAGGCATGCTGTGATGAAGAATGCAGAATTGTAAGTTTACCTGTTCTAAATGGCTGTAGATGATGTAGACAAGGTGGTAAAGTTGGTCTTTTTTTCAAGCATGGAGTTTGATGATGTTTCAGTTGGAAGGCTGATGCACATAATAGCACAAATCTACAATCTTTCCTGACTACAAGATATGGCCCTAACAATATCTTTGTAGAAACAATTTGAACAAAAGCTATTATTAAAACAATTCATGTCCTTCACTTGCCTTTCATTTCCAGGCACTCTGTGAACAAACTGAAAAAACATTCCAAGTCTTACTGCACATCTGTTTTCCTACTAAGGAAACATCAGAGCACAATTGTGATGATATTGGAGTGTCTAAAAGACTTAAGAGGGTATTACTATTTATCTGAAAACTAAGTTTAACTTACTTTTGTTGCTTTCTAATAAGTAATGCCAGAAGAAATAGCTATTCTGTATGTGCAGCTTGTGGAACAGAGATAAAAGCTAGCATATACTATTGGAAAAGACAACCTTTACTCTGCTCTAAATAGAATAACTCTTTGCAGAGCAAACTTAAATACTTGGGAGAAGGCTGGAGCTTGAGATGGAGAAGTTCTGATTCATTTATTTTAAACTATGTTTAATTTATCGTGATACTTAAACAGCAATTGCTATTTCTATTACTCCAGATTTAACCTGAAGATTTATCATCTGCTTCCAACTGAAAAGCAGTGTTTCCCTAAGAGAAGTGATCCAGGTTGTGCTGATTTGCCATGTATAATTCTACATATATGTTTGATGATGATTCTGATGATGAATTCCCTACCCAACAAGCTATACAGGAAAGCTTACAAGATAGGTATAAAATTGAAACAAGTGGTAGTGCAACAGAGGATGAAAGGTAATAAGTTATTCCTTCTGTTTTGGATGTTTTCTTGGCATTATGATAAACATGTGGTAATCTTACTTTCCTTTGTGAGTCTGTATGTTGTATTACTCTGACCTTGTTTCATGGATACTGGAAACCACTGGTAGCTCACTGGTTCTAAGTTCTCCCTGAAAAAGTATACCCATTTTCTCAAAAATCTGGAATGTATGAAATTTTCCGGTGACATCAATATCTAAATGAGTACAAGGCTTTATGAAGAAGATAAGCATGTGATGTAAAAATAGATTGGTATGGTAGCTTTTCCTCATTTTAGTATGTAATTGTTGGCCTTTGTGTGAAAAATTCCAATATTTATAGTGGCAGGGGAAGACCAACAAAAAGTGTTTTAATGTGTTAAACCCTGACAAAACCTATGTAACTTACAGGAATCTAACACATAGTCTAAACTTGAGTATTAAAATTAAGGTATAATTATATCCTGAACTTCACATTAATTTTTACTTCTCTATTTTTTTCTGTTGGTGCAGTTTCCAGCGTATTGCAAGTAAAGAACATGGAAAGATAATTGCAGCAATTCGGACAGTTAAGTACAAATACACCGCACTAAGCCTATACCCCTAGGAATCACTTGGGTATTGCATTGTTTAGCAATGTCTACATTTTACATGTTTGATTACCTGATTTAAGTGCAGTTTTTCTTTATGTAGTCTTGGAAGGAGTAAGACAATGAAAAACAGAACACCCAAAGGCTAACATGTTAGATAGGAACACGGTAATGGGATGGGTTCAAATGTCACTTCTCTTGGAGATTCCAGTGGTTCATCTCCTGGAATTAGGGGAAAATGCCAGGCCTTTCTTGTAAGATAAGCCACAGGATGTCTAGGCCTCTAGTCAATTAATGCTTCCTAAAAGCATTTGCCACTTTGTGAGATACTCAGATTAAAATCCCTTCTCTCCCTGAAGAGTGTTCCAGAATAGTTAACTGTCACACTTTACTGTATTCCATTATGAGATGCTTTTAGTCTGCTCCTCTGAAATGTCTATTTTTTGTGATACAATCAATTTACATACTGAGTCGCAGAGATAACTAAACAATGAGCATAAGTAGTACAGTTGTTTAGACAGTTGTTCGGCAGTGGGAAATCTTCAGTCCAGTACTTACACATGTCATAGTAGTTACAGAGATAATTTAGTGGATTAGGAATCAGGAAACCAAGTCTGGAAAAGCAATACTATTAAAAGTAAGTTTTTTCAATGTATCATTCAAAATGCTTTGTGAGTCAATGTTAATCATTGATTGTTCCATTCATGTAAACCACCCTCTGAGAAAAAATTGATTTGATGAAGCAAGTTGTTTATTCTAGATACACTGATGGGATAAATGGCACTCAATGTATTAGTTGCCTGAATTTTGTTCTATGATGAGTAGTGGGACATGTGTCTGTCTTTAAAATATCACAGGCCAAGAAGAGGCCTTGATGAAGTTGGTGAGGCACAGTTCTGCTTTTGAAGAAGCAGATCAGCAAGGCTGGCTTCCGGTGCATGAAGCTGCGGCACAGCTAAATAAGAACATCCTTGAAATAACTTTGAAAGGTACAGAGTCCTTCTGGTTTTCCACAAAAAGTTTTACAAACCCAACTTTGATGAATTGTCCAGCTTCAAATGTATTCTGCTTTTCTGTATTTCAGCCTCCCGTGCCCTTACATGGGAACAGACCACTCTAAAAGGGGAAACGCCTCTCTTGGTGGCCGTCAGAAATTGCTTTGTAGACAATGTCCGCTTTCTCCTGCTCAATGGTTGCAATCCCAATGTTAAGAATGAAGAGGGAGATTCTCCTTTAGTTGTAGGTGAGTACCTTATTTAGGGGTAGAGAGGTGAGGGAATGAAGTGAGGTTGTAGTTACACATTTTAGGTTTCAGTTTGACATATTTGACTTCAAATCAATATCTAAAATATTTTGCTATAAGGAGTAAAAAATGTTAATCTCAGTATTGAATGTGTCTGTCCCTGTCTGTCTGTCTTAGATGATATCTAGGCTTTAAATGAGCTGACAATTCCAAGTTACAGACTGTAAAAAGTACAAATTTCTTAGCATTATTTATTAATTAAAATATTATCCTTATTGGTCTACTGAAGTATGGGAAGCATAGAACTAAGAGAAGCTAAAAATCTTTCCCCAAAGTCTGATTCAATGAAGGAAGCTCCAGATGCCTACCATTTTCCATCCTTCAGTTGCAAAGAGTTTGAGGTTCAGGTTGAACATACATCTTTTTCCTCAAAGAATCAAATAGCTTTCTCCATGAAGTGTCTTCCTCTGCTTTCCTTGGCATCATTTATGCAGTGGTGCCAGATAATCAAGTCCTCCTGCTTCTTCATGCTATTACTGTTCATCATGTTCTCTGCTTACATGGTATGTCCTTCATTGCATCAGCTTCTCTTTCTCCAAAAAACATGGTAATTGGTTTTGATTTTCAAAAATTATAGCAAATCAGCCTGATATATCTGCATTACGTAGAGTGTAAAACACTGTTTGTCCCTAGTCAGACATTGTTGGAATTAAATCAAGTATGACAAGTGAAGAAGCTTGCCGGGCCTAAATTCTCAGTTCACTTCTCTTTGAATTTTTCTGATTGAAGAAGAAGGTCCCATACCTAGTGTCACTCTTTGTGTGAATGCCATTTTAATCTGATCATGCACAAGAATTGTAATCCTTGATTTGTAAAGAACTAGTCCTAATATTTTGCCAAGATGTTTTTCAAAAATGTTCTATGTTCATTTAATTTGCTTCCCCCAATTTGGGCTATGATGCTGTTATTCTTAGTGAGTTCTAGCCAACAAAAAGAAAGTGTGTTCTCATTATCTGGGTTATAAAGGAGCACTGTAAATTTCTTGGATGAACCTGCAAGTTTTTCCATATTGGAAGGGTGGGGTTTTTTCCCAAACTATTGTTAAGGAAGGGGAAAAAGTCTATCTATCTGTAGGACCCCAAATCCATTCTTTTGAAATGACTAAAGCTTCTAGTCAGGGCCACCTGCTTAGAAAAGACACAGAGAATTCCTAGATACTTTTGTAGTGCACTATATTAAAATGCACCATCCCCCAAGAAGAGTATGGGATTTATCTAAAGCAGCCATGTAGGTTACAGATGATGGGACATCACAGGTTATAGTATGCTGTCAACGGTATTTCAAGCAGCTGTGGCACATGAAGCTTCTCTGCCTAATCTGTCTCAGTGAAGGGCACTCGCTGTTCTACCCTGCACAGCCTGGAAGATCAAAGAGAGAAGGAGGGAAAGGTGTTGCCTATTCATTCCATTCACTGGAGCCAATGCAAATTACTCTTTTAAGATCCTTACTGACTTAACAGATCAGGCTTATTAAGCTAAGAAGGCATGACACAGTCATTTTAAACTTTGTTTCATGTTATGGTAACTGCTTATGAAGATTAAAAAGTGCTCTCTGAGCAGGCCAGCTCCTGACTGCACCAAGTCCCTGTATATGATCTCCATCTAGTGGCAAGGAAAAGTTGCATTCTGTTGTACTCCCAAACACAGCAGAGAATTACAGAGAGAGATTACCATAAAATGATTCATTTGTATAGTTAATGTTAGCCTGGAAATAAAGAACAGACTTGTTGGTAAGTTAAACCTTTCAGTGTAGTGTGACATTTCTCAGTGTATAAATAGCACTATCAGGAACAGCTCAAGCTTTCCTGAGCTGCCACATAACAGAAGCCGTAGTGCCTAGATAGTATTGAATAACATTCTGGCTTAATGTCTTACAGCAATTAAACATGATTCGTATGAGATTGCCTCCCTGTTGATAAGTTCTGGTGCAAAAGTGAATTGGCAGTGTGTCCACAAGAGGACTGCTTTGCACGAGGCAGCCAGACTAGGCAGGAAGGATCTGGTGAAGCTTCTCCTTCGTTCTGGAGCAGATCCTGACCCTCGTAGTGAATATGGGCTCACACCTCTAGCACTGGCCGCACAGATTGGACATACAGAAATTATGGAGCTCTTACTGCAAAAAGGTGAGACTTTATTATATAGGATTTATAGGAAGAGAAGGCTTGTGGTGGGGGTCTGTCTTGCCAGTGTTACAAATATCTGACAGGATAATGTATAGAAGGCAGAGCCAGATTCTTCTCAATGGGGCCCAATAACAAGACAAGAGACAATGGGCCCCAATTGAAACCTAGTAAATTCTGTCTGAACATAAGAAAACACTTTTTTCTGTGAGGGCGATTGAACCCTGGAACAGGTCACTCAGAGAAGTTGTGAAGTCTCCATCCTTGGAGATACTAAAAACCGGACTGGATGCTGTCCTGGGCAACCTGCTGTAGCTGACCCTGCTTGATCACAGGATTGGACTGGAGGATCTCTGGAAGTCCTTTCCAACCTCAGCTGTTCTGTGGTTCCATTTTACAACTCAGGAGATTGATTTAGTAACATGTAGGTTCAGTGGCAGTGTTCTTCAACTGAGTAGAAATTGTAAGCCATGTGTGTTAGTACTGAAATGTTTAAAGACCAAATAGGACAAAGTGAGTCATATTTCCAACAGAGAAAATTATTCCTAAATGCAGAGGCAAAAATTGTTCTTGGCTCAGTAGCCAGTAAAACTTTGCATTACTGAAGCGAAAGGAAATGAACTGTTATCATGTTACTGAGTATACAGCCTGTAGTGTTAATAGATCCAAATAGATACAAAACATATTTTTAGAGATTACTTGTAGCAAACTGTAGTAGTCATCAGTGAATGCTTTGCAAAATGACAATAAAATCTGACACATTACAAGAGATATTTTGTTTGCATTTTATATGGCATCTTGATTTATTTTGAAGAATTTGACTCCCAAATCATGCGAGTTGAGGTCCTTCTAAAGAATTCATAGTATCACAATTTCATGTTATAAGATCGATATATATACGTGCACACACACAGGTATAATCCCTCTAAAGTAGTTAGCCTAATTACACACATTTTTATTAGTCTTCTGAAAGTTCTGTAATTAGATTAAAACTGGTTATTGTGAGATACACCTTCAGCAATAGCAGCAGAAGTAGCTTTCCTTACTAAAGAAAATTAAATGTTATTTGCACAAAGAAGAGGATTGTTGTGATGTACTTAAGTAAAGGCCTGATAAAGACTACATTTTCATAATACTCAAATACTGTATCAATATTTTAGTGAGTAGTTGTAATTGTTTTTAAATGCAATATTGTTTTCTCATGTAGACAGGTCATCGTAGGGAAGGCCTGACAAGACATTTATGGTGGTGAATTTAATATGATGGCTCAGCAGCGCTGGAACTGGATTGTATGAACTGTTTTGATACTGGGTTCACTCATATTTAGTTGTATCTGTCTGGTCTTTGTAAAGTAGAACAACTGAGATGATAGATAGATATACATTGTATGTAAGCAAAAAAACCCCCAATTATTTGTATGAATAAGAACCAAAACCCTTGCTTGCCCAGTTTCTAGCATCAAGTCTTACTGTGTGATTGGGTTCAAAGCAATTTGAACCTTCTTGTTCCCAGGATCAAGGATCCAACATGAAGGTTTATGCCCATAGTGGTTTTATTTGGTGAATAATAGTATCCACAATACCACATCACTGGAGGGTTGGAGATATTAATTACTGCTGGATATTTACAGTGACAACTGTGAAAATCCTTGATGCTTCTTTCCAGGTGCGGATGTTCTTTCACAGGCAATGGATTGTGCTTCTGTATTATTTGAAGCAGCAGGAGGAGGAAATCCAGAGTCTTTGAGTCTTTTACTAGAATACGGTGCAGATGCCAATATACCAAAGCACTCGGGTCATTTGCCAATCCACAGAGCTGCATATAGAGGACACTTTCTGTGAGTTAATATACTTAAAAATCAAGTAATGGTGACACCAGAAATACTGATTTTGCTAATTCTACCTTATTCAAAGCAGGCAGCAAATCTGTAGTTTTGTAGAAGGAATTATTTTTGACCGTGTAAATATGAGTTTTCTTTGTCTGAAAGTCAGGATAAAAAAGACCAGTCAGGATAAAATCTTCATCATTTTAGGATGAACATACTAATTCCTGTAGTATTTCCCCACTTGTCACAAATACTAACACTGTCCAGTCTGATGTGAGGTTCCTGGAACATCCTCACTCCCTTTGGGTATGCCTCATCTCCACCCCATCACAGGAAGGTAAACGTGCTAAATATACAAATAGACTTAGGGGATAAGGGTTATCCCTATTTTAAAGACAGGAAAGTTACTGAAAGATATTTATGCTAAAATCACAACCAGGAAGTGAGCTAATGAAGAATAGTATAGTAGAACAATATTTTATGTGTAGTAGGTGTAAAGTCAGTATCCATTGCTGGCTAACCATTTAATTGGTAGCAATTAAAGTCAATGCAGAGGTATAGCATGCCATGGTACTGATTTGGTACATTAAGCCAATTGTATACAGTCCTGATGAATTCTGAAGCCCAGCAACACAGAGAAATTCAAAGACTGAGCTAGGTGAACCAGTATGTTTAAGATTCTGAGATTCTCCTTTTTTTAATTCTTCAGAGCCCTAAAAAATTTAGTTCCAGTTACTAATTTTGATGCCATTAAAGAAAGTGGGATAAGCCCAGTTCACTCAGCAGCAGCAGGAGCACATCCTCAGTGCCTTGAGTTTCTCCTCAAATCTGGGTTTGATGCCAATTTTATGCTGGATCAAAGAGTTCGCAAAGGCTACGATGACCACCGGAAATCAGCATTGTACTTCGCTGTTTCCAACGGGGACATCTGTTCAACACAGTTGCTGTTGAACGCTGGAGCCCTGCCAAACCAGGATCCCATCAACTGTCTCCAAATAGCCTTGAGAATGGGCAACTATGAGTTAATGAATCTACTGCTCCGACATGGGGCAAATGTCAATTACTTCTGCAGAGTGAATACAACTCATTTTCCATCAGCTCTACAGTATGCTCTGAAAGATGAAGTCATGTTAAGAATGCTGATGAACTATGGATATGATGTGCACCGCTGCTTTGATTGCCCTCAGGGAAACAGTTCGCATTCCCAGTATGTGACTGATGGATGGACTTCTACCGTTATCAAAGATACGATGGTAAGTATATCAGATGGCTTCATATGTTGTTTTACTACCAGTATCCTTTCTGAAACTAAATGAAAATGTATTTAATGTGTCAGAAAAGGAAGTTTTGAAACTGTAAGGCAGTTTGCACTTAAAGGTAGGAATAGACAAGGCTTTAAAAATAAAAAGATGTTGCCATGAGGCCTGGCTCATGACAGCAAATTATCATAAACAATATTTTTGAATTGTGAAAATATAGCTAATGATATGCTAATGATCAGTACAGAATTGGCTCTCTGGCGCAGTCTTGTCCATGCTGTGAAAGCAGGGACTTGCAGGCTGGCTCGCTGGGTTTCTTGTATCGTAACACTACTACTGGAAAGTGGTTGTAAGGACCCCCTGGAGCTGGCATGGTAAGCACTGAGCAAAAATTAACAAACCTGGACCAACCTAAACAGGTTCCTAGAGACACCCATCAGTGTCATTGTTTTGCAGTTTGTGAAGTCCACTTGAACCTAATAAACCCTTCCTTAACCTGAAGATAAGGGGATGTGGCATGCACTGGGCTGGTGGGTTCCCCTGTTTAGCACACTGGGACACAAGTCTAAATTCCACTTAGGGAGCGGTAGCGCTGAGTTACCAAATACACAGCTGCTTAAGTTCACTTTTGGATCTAGTACAAAACAACCATCGCTCAGATTTTCAGATTCTACTAGTGAGGCTTCATGCAAGCTGTGACAACCTCTATAGCTCCCCTGACTGACAGACCACGCATCCTTCCTGGCATTCTGCTCGTGTTATTTAATTGCTCTTGTCCTGCAGAGGTGGAAGTCATTTACAGCAGTATTGAATATTATCCTATTAACCATTTTATTTCTATCAGTTCTGTGAAGTGATAACCTTGTCGTGGTTGAAGCATCTGTCTGGAAAAGTGGTGCGAGTGATGTTAGATTATGTTGATCATGTTAACATCTGCTGGAAGCTAGAAGCGGTTCTCAAAGAACAGGAGCTCTGGCCAGACATCAATTTGATTTTAAGTAAGTATCTGGTGTTTACATTTGAAATGACGAACAAGCTGTTTTGGGACTGGGGCCTTTTTTGTTGGCTTTTTAGCTTTCATTTTCTTTCTCTCAAACTGGTGCTTTTCTTGACCCTTGTTAGGCCAAAAGTTATGTTTTAACAGTGAGAGACCTCTTAAAAATCAGTCTATATAGGATTCAAGCTAAGTTTCTCTCAGAAGTCTGATTGATAGTAACTGCACGATTTATGTAGAGCACTTGGCAACTTTAATTACAGTGTAGACGACACAATCCTCTTCAAGGGGAGAAAAGCTTTTCTTTCTGCCTCAAGTTGATGGACCAAATCTAATAAATTACTATTTTTGAGTGATTTAATTCTAGTCTAGATTAATTCCACGTCATTTTTGTTTGTTTATAGCTTCTTCAGGTTGACAGAAAACTAGCACCAATTATTTGGGATTAAAGTACATTCCCAAAACTTTACTACTTAAACTTGCATTACCCTACATTTAACCAACTTGACAGAAACAAAATCTGTTGATTTAGCTGCCAATGATTATAAATATAGCTGAAGGATGTATGGGCTGAGGTGAGAAGTCCTGACAGATCCAGTTTTCCAGGTAGCAGAGTATTGAATAAACTGAACAAAATCTAATAATTTACTAATACTAGTCTTGCCTTTTCATTTCTAGCAAATCCTCGTTCTCTGAAGCATCTTTGCCGCCTGAAGATACGTGAATGCATGGGCCGGTTGCGTCTCCGTTGTCCCGTCTTCATGACCTTCCTCCCACTGCCAAACTGCTTGAAAGACTATGTACTATACAAGGAATATGATCTCTATGGGCAGGAAAACTTCAGAGGAACCGACAGCCTCAACTGTACATAATTATTAGTTCTATGTTTTGAAGGGAATGTTGACATGGATAAGACTGTCTATACAGCTGCTTTTTACTTTTGGGATTTTATCTCCTATGTATGCTAAGGAATACCAGCATTCCCTCCTCATCCCTTGAAGAAAATGGGGAGAACCCCAAAATGTAAGTATTGGTGATCCTATTCTACATGTCTACTGGAATATAAACTATCTGAAAGCTACAGAAATAGTATTTTAAATGCTTAGTGTGAAAAGTTAAGGAACTGTAAAATGCAGGGCTGCAAAACTTGTGTTATTGCTAAGTTAAAGCCTGTCCTAACAGGTAACACTACCCCCACTGCAGGGTTAAACTCGGAGTTCAGTTAAAGGTCAGGGATTTAACTATAACCAGGAAGGCACATGGTTCTTTTTTCTCTTGTCCCTTGCTCTTGCCAAAAGGTAGTGGTTTTGTTTGTCAAGGCCTGCACTGAAGTTCTGAAGAGCAGCCTAAGTAGATTTATTTTTTTAACCCAATTAAGCAATCCCACATTCTGTATTTTGATTGCTGTCTCTGGAACTAGTTTTTCCTTTCACAGTGCTGTCCAAAGGCATGCTTGCACTTTTGGAGTTTCTCTTCATACAGTTGGAGCTTAAACTTTTGGAGCACTATCTGTCAGCAGTCACCATTGTCTTAGGAGGCCTTACGCAGTACACACAGACCCACAGCACAGCACCCCTTGTCTTCTAAAAATACTGCAGATGTCAGTCCATATTTTAGGAAAAAAAAAAGTTCATCAACACACTTGGCATTAGTAGTATTTATTCCTTCATTATCAAGTAAGCATAGATTTTTTTTTCTAGTTATACATGCATCTTTATCACAGAAGTTACATAATTCAAAAGTCTGCTCTTCCCCAGAAAAATCTAGAAACCTTATAAAATACAAAGTTAACCATAATATAGTTATGAGCCATTGCTTTTTACATCGTGTTTATCATATCATAAACTAATGAAGCCCGTGAAGATACGTATCAGTACCCATGTTCATGGCTGTGCTGGTACAGCCTCTGTACGTGCCTGACCATTGCAAGCACAGCTCTGCAGAGTGCTCCACACTGTCCTCCGACTACACCACCACATGCACCAACAGCCAGCTAGGATGGGAAGGATTTTCTTCTTCTACTGTTCCGTCTTTGATTGTTGCAAACGTAAGTTATCAGCATTCCCAAGTACTATAACTCTCTCTGAGGTTATCGGGCTAATATGATTAAAATTAAGAGAACTAAGATACACTTTAGCAACAGAGGGATATAACTGCATGTTAAAACTTCATTTAATGGAAGGAAACGCATACTGTCACCAATAATAGTACTTCCTGGAAGTATTATGAAAAATGCAGGAGGCTTTTGCATCAGTACAAATGTCACCCAGAAAGTTACTATAGTTAAGCTTTTATTTAATCTACAAAATGCTGACTGAAGCCCTGGCATAATATGTTTACTATCCATGTTTCCAAGATTAAGACACAACAATCAAAGTTGACGTAAGTATGCCGCTGGAGGCTTTTAATACAGCTGTTCAGGGAAAATGTGCAAGTCAGTCTCAAACATTGCAAAAATCACTTACACTTCACTAGAACAGGACCAATCCAGAACATCATTGGAAGAATTTGACCACTCCACTCTATTATAAAAATGATCTGAAAGATTGTACAAAATCCTTGGCTTGCAATATAAACTTCATTAGGAATACAAGTGCATTCACCATGACACATTGACTTATTCTTCTCACAACTTAGATACCACTGTGGCAGGGAGAAAAAAAAAAGTCAACTTACTGCTTGGTTAAAATCAAAAGCCTTGGAGACTAATTGACTTGACTTGCAAGAAATTTTGTCAAATATAGCAACAGAAAGAATACAAAATAGCAGCTCTTGCTGTTAGACTAGACAGTATCTCTACTAAATTCACTAAAAAGAGGAAGGTTTTCTTTATATGAATTATTTCTGAAATAACAAGAGACTATCGTAATATAGTCTTCTCCATTGGCTTCTTCTAAATTCTGTGCAACTAATTCATCAGAATGTACCTTAAACATAGGCACAGTCAAATTTGCTTCTTTATATCAAGGTACATAAATTGTATCTTCATAAACAGCTTCAGCTGTTTCAGGATTTTCAGCTCTGAGTTTACATCCATATAAAGATGAAATCTGACAGCGCTGTAGAGGGGGAATGTTCCTTAACTCTTATGTGTTACTTTATTGTTAGATAGTAAATTGTCTTGATACAATTTCAAACCTAAACAGATTAAGGAAGTAATAGTTTACACTACCCACTCATAACTAGTTATATATGGCCAAGTTGTATATGACTCTTAACTTGTCCTTTGATTTAGACTTGGGGAAATCTGTTAATGGTCATGGGGGAGTGCTAGGTATTATCTATAATGCAATAAAATGCATACCCATTAGCACACTTTATATACTTTGATATCCATACCATTACATACATAAAGAATGTATGTAGCTTGAAACAACTGACAGCAAGACTTGCTTGGTCTGCAGTGTGTAAATCTACATAGTGTAACAAACTTACTATCCCCTTACCAAAGGGAAAAAATGTGGCAGTAACTATGAGGCTGCAATTAGCAACATAAAAAGTTAGGCCCAAATAACAGTGCTGGTTCAGTACCTATGCAAAGTCACTTTAAAATCATGTACTTGAAAGAATATTTTCAGGAGTGTCTGAAATAATAGTAGATTCACGTGAAGCCTACAGCTTCAGCTGGAAGTGCTTGAAAGATCAGTCTGTAAGTAAAAGGCAATAGGAAATACTAAACGAGAGAAATAAATTACAGGAGTGGGAACCAACCAGTAATAATATACTTAAAATAAAAAAATGCTCAGGTGGTGAAATCTTACTGCAGCAGTTCCCAGGAGAACGTGAGGTGTTTGTATTAAAAGTCATACTCTCAAGGAAAACACTAAGCACTCTATTTTTTTTTTTTAATTAACAAAAATGTTTTCCAATGAGGTAGTTCTAAACCTCATAGGAAAAAGGATACCAAATAGTTGTTTATTTTGGAGAGGAGGGCATGAATAAAAAAATCCTCAGCAGCTATTTTTGCCTTGAGGTGGTTCAAATTACAGAGCCAGGTGCTCCTCCCCTTAAGCAAATCTCAGTAATTCTCAGCCTACTGCTAACTCATTGCAGCATTCCAGTTTAACTTCCTCGTCTCTTCTGACCTGCTGTTTGCTCTTGCAGTTTTTGTCACTCTCCCAGATGCGTTTGTATCTTTTTTGCTCATTTCACACCAGTGAAACTTACCTAAACAAGCAAAAAAACGCCCCTCAGTTCATTCATGCATGTCAATCTGTTTTCTTTAACCATTCTCTTAATTCATTTCCCTTTTTTTAGTGGTTAAGATGAGAATCATCCAATACAAAAGAAATGCACTTCACTCCTATGCTGTCTGTTTTAGAAAACTACATTTAATGGCATAGATGGAAAGCCTGAAAAGCAAATGGGATAATTCTAATTATGTATTGTTAAATCTGAAAAATCCCATATGACAGTAAATTCATCTGCCAACTTTCTATCTCCCACTTTTTTTCCTCATCTTTGCAGCTTTATGTCTAAAACAGTAATAGTTTCAGTAAAAAATACGGTAATTCAATTTTCTGACATTTCTTCAATAAGGCTAATGCAACACAGGCTACACATCAGAAATGCTTTTTGCTGAGATTGCTAATCCACTGACCATCTTCTCTATGGAGCTAGGGCTGTTGCAGATAAGCCAGTTAACACTAATCAATCCTACTCTGACAAGCTGAGGGACTAGTAGGTTCTAGAAACTAGAGCCCACTGATTTCATGTTCTTCCTGTGCTGTTTCAAAACTACTTCATCTTCAGCATGTACTTGAGAAACAGTAACCTTGAGCTATGATGTCGTATTATTTCATAGACAGAAATATCAGTAAGTAAAAACTAAGAAACAAACCCCAAAAAACAAGAGAAAGAAAGATGAACTGGAACAACTTGCAGAGACAAACTGGCTGCTATGGAACTATCTGTAAGCCTAGACTTAGTAGACACAAAAAGGAAAAAAATTGGATTTGCTGCCTCTCTGTATATTTTTGCTGGCAAGAATAAGAAGTCTTTTAAGGATGAGAGGTGAGAATAGGAGACTATATATGAAATAAAAATGCCACTCCTTTTTAGAAAAAAGCCTCAGATTTGTGTGGTCCATGTGACAGTATGCTAGCCAAATTTGGCCACAGGCCAACGCCATTTGGCCTGACAGCACAACAGCAAAAGCTGTACTGAATGGCTACTCTGGGGATGAAAAATGTGCTGGAACAGGAGTTGCTGACTAACTCAGGAAGATAACCTGGAGGCTCTCTGCTGCTCAGCCTCCCCATCCGCCTCCTCTTTTAAGGCAGGGGTACTGTGACCCTCCGAGGCTGCTCAGGCCCTCCCAAGGGCTGTGGTGGTGTAACATCTGCTCCGAGAGCTGCTCTACCTCCTGCTGCACTAGCAGCTCCAGGGCAGCACCCTCGGTCCTGCCTGGGCGCTGCAAGGGCAGGCGCTGCTCCCCTTTCTCTCCTGTGACCGGAGCCAGATGCAGTGAATTTCTGCACAGAAATTCACATCTCCAGCACAAAGGCAGAAGCAGACTGCCTACTTAGCCTGCGCAGGGCCGCTCCAGTGCACAAGGAGAGCTAAGGATGCTGATCTCTCCATGCACCTACAGCAGAGAGAGCCTGAGATTCCTCACTTTCTTACCAGCACTGAGCAACTCCAGCTACAAAGGGCCATCACCAGCTGCTGGGGAGATACTCTGAAAATTTCTTCCATTCCTGAACACCAGAAATGCCCTGCAATGAACTGTAAAACACTCATAACTGTTATAACTTGGAGTATAAGCATATTCATCTCTTTCTACATTTCCTGTTATTTTCATGCCACTACTAGAGAGATCTGTTCCACTGGATTTTAGTATTTATAGTAATTAATTAGTGCAAAAATAAATATTTCTCTTCAAACAAGTTTTCTCTTCTGGATCAAAAGGTGAATGCACATTTAGTACTATACAAAATAAATATTACACAGAGTATGGAACACGGAGTTCAGATTACAGCTGTAAACAGACACTGCTTTGAAAACTGCTTTATGGGATTGACTCTAGGATGTAGGATTAGCATAATCTCTTACTTCAGAACTAGTAAATTCTGTTTGCAAAACTGATTTCCATAAAAAGACTTAAAGAGCCTCAACTCACTTTCAGTGTACTGGTGGCAAGGCATTTACATATTCAGAAGATTTTTTCAAATGATAGGATTCAAGATGTTCCTGCAACTCTAAGCATGTTTTATAAAAAGTGAACTTACAGCTTTTTATTACATGTACTGGGGAAAACCAAGAACATGGCACTTGTGCTACAAGAATATATACCTTGTTCTTATCATTTGATAAGGAATGCTTATACATTCCTCATGCAGCAAAGTGCAACTGTGTCTCATCAGCTCTTATCTAAGTCTGACAGTATTTTTTTCTCCTGTTGAAAGAAGTCTTTCAGCATTGTATTCATAAAAACAAAAAATCAAGAGCGTATCATAGAGTGCAATATAAAACAAAAAATAAGATCTGTCTAGACCTATTGCACACCTCACTGATGTTAATAAGGATTTGTCTTTCTAAATCTAAGAGCAGTTATGTGCAACAAATTAGGTAAAGCTTAGCACTGTCTTATTTGGACATCTACTTTTATTTCCAGCAAGGTGTTCTCCATACTGCAGTGTAAAGAACAAATTTCAGCGTACTGCTGAAGTCCAATGAGAGTTTTAAGCTTTGCTTCAAGAGCAGTCAATTGCACAGAGAGGTAAGTGGGGAAAAAAACCCCACAGTTTTTTTCCATACTGCAGAGAAGCCTTGAGAAAACATAATTTTGTAATAAACATGGTGGCATCACCATGCTTCATCCGGCATATAGAAATTATACTGACATGAAAATGGAAATCACTTAACTGGAAAGAAAAATCAAGGCATAATAGGGTCTACATATTGCGAAGTCTTTTATATAATACAACAGACCCTCCAGCCACATTTCACCTCTTGTAGAACTTGTGCCATTTCACCAGATACATCCGTGATTCCAATTTTAATAAAGTAGGCAACCTTAGGCTTCAGATTCTCTTTTCTTCTTTCCATCTTCTCCTAAATCACTGTCTTCCGACTGGCTGCTGCTAAGGACTACAAATTGTCCTTCTCCGCTGCTCTGGTTCGATCTGCTGGAAGCAGCTATCAACCGGCTTTGCTCCTCTAAGTCCTAATTTGAGAAAGGGAAGGTGGGAAATCAGAAAAAGAATATTAACTTTCAAGCCACCTACAGCTGAAACAGGATAACATTATTATGGTTTATAAACTATCTTTTAATACTATCAATGGACAACTTTCTGTACAGATGAAATTAAAAGATTGAATAGGAAACCAAAATATTTACATTTCAGTAGTTGGCACTGTCAGAACAGCTAACACATCACCACATCTGTACCCATAACCCACAAAACCCAGCAGGTCAGAACAAATATCTTCGTGCACAGCCCCTTCCTCACTGTGTAACGAACCCTTCTCAGCAAATGAAATAATTTTGGGCTTGTCATAGGTCTTCCTTCAAGCACTGTTCTTAAGTGTTCCTCTAAAGATGTTTTATGGTTTATCTCCTCAGAAGACCTCTTTTTAAAAATGACTATACAAAGTTATACAAATTCTGTACAGGAAATACTTCTAATAATTAATTCCATAATGTTCCATGAACTTGTACTAAAGAATATGATAGTGGAGCTTGGAGTACAAAACTGCAAAAGTAACTAGAAACAAAAAGAATATTAAGAAATAATAATGAAATGTACCTTTTCAATTTGTTTTTGTTTATTCAGTTCTTTTTGTTGTTTCTCTTTGACTCTATCTATTTCTTTCTGCTTTTCTGATGCTTTTCGATCCTAAAGGGCAAAAATGTAAATAAAGTAAGTAACAACAGCCTGAGATGTTTCATACCTTACCAATTTGTATGAGTTTGCTAAAAACTGTTATACCACTGTTTTGATTATTCTTCTTTTAAAGGACTGGTATGTTTGGTAAAGGTAGCAACCTGAATCTTATCTTGAACACTGTTCCACAGGGGGGACATTGGTCAGTCTTTTTATCTTGGGTTTAAATTCTAAGCAAACAAACCCCTTAAAATACACCACAGCAGTATTACTGCATCTCTAAGCATCTTGCAGAATATATTTTATTACACATATTAAATATACTCTCTCCCTTCCCAAGTATCCCTTGCCCCAAAAAGATTCTTACCAGTTCTGCATGAAAAGCTATCTGTTTTGCCAGTCCAACAGAGTCACAAATCTAAACACAAAACAGATTGGAAATAATCAAAAAGACTCTAATAAAAATGCCTTTAAAATTAAGCCAGATTCCCAAAGTAGGTATGATAGCATATTAGAGCACTTGCAAGTATTTAGACGGTCATGTTTTTCAGTACATAAACAAAATAATCTCTGTTAGAAGTCCTTTAGACAGCTTGAATGGATCTAACATCTTGGAATCCACGTCAGGTTCAAAACTGATTCAAGTATTACCATCACCAATACCTTTTCCCCTTCATTATTTGATTCAAATATATAGCAGACAGAAGTTTGGCGGCTCTCAACTCTCCCTCCTGAAGTCCTAAGCACAAATCCAAAAAGGCGCTTATTCTCCTGGTGCGTAGCATACAGGACTACATTGGGCAAAGGAAACTGCCAAGAAGGACCAAATAAGGAGAGATTAAAACTGGTTCCAAGTATTTTCTATATGAGGTTTCAATATAGTGGACATTAATTACTTCAATATCATAAATGCACAACCACACCAGAAGAAGTTACAACCTGACCAAACATGTAATTACAAAGCACAAACAGTAGATTAGAAGACAAGGATTAAATTATTCAAAAGATAGGAGAACTTCTAAACCCATGCTCTGTGTAAGAAAAGGGGACCACATTTGCAATGCAATTCAGTCATCTTTCTAAATGTGAATATGCTCCTTTTTTATTTTCTTTACAGAGGCATCATTCATACAAATTACATTTGCAAATAAGCTTTCAATATTTGGTGCCAGGTAAAGGCACTACTCCAAAACCTTTACTACAATTAGTTCAGCTCTCCTCAATCATCTAAGCAAGAAAAAAAGAAAAAAAACCCAAAACTAATAAACCACATATCCTTGCTATTTTGTTACTATAAAACTATTTTGCATTCTTATTCCTAGAAGAGGGTGGACTTAGAAATTTCAAATCTATCTTTTTAACCTTTGGTAAGTCTTAAGTTCTTAAATTCTGAAAGCCCCTACTACAGCTGTTATAAACTGATCGGGTGAGATTTTCCTAACCTTAAATGTGCACATTTAGAATACTGGACCGGCACTCAGTTGAAAATCTCACCTGTAATAGCTTACAGCTTCAGGGCAGTTTTGAACTTAATGCCACAGAGGTAAAGAAAGAAAAAAGCACTACTTCAAATATCAAGACATTTTCATATGTTTTGGATTTCCTTTTATGGAAATGAAAGTAACTCTGAGTCCCCAAAAAACCCCCAAACAAAACCAAAAAACCCAAACACCAAGCAAACCCCTCTGGACTTCAGAACTAATCTGACTCCAACCTTAATGTTACCTCTCTACTAACAATATAAATGTTCATAATTAAACATGTTGTTAAAACTATCAAATTGGGGTGGGGAGTTTCAAAAGCCTATTTGACCTATTGAAACCACTCCCCTTAAAGCTGATTTGCTAGTGTGTTTCTATTTTTAAATATATGCATTAGTCTCCTAATTTCTCCTAATTTCCTGGAAATTTGTCTGGAAATCATGCTGTCAGTGATTTTTGGTAACATCTAACAATATTATTTTTTAAGTAAAAGAATTACATTGCTGGGTATTTATCTTAAAATGTAAAATTACTTACTCGTAGTCTTGTAACTTGTGTCTGTGGATCAATTAACCTAAAAAAATTATTTTTTAAAAACAAAGCAGAAAGTAAATTTTACTAAAGTGAAAGATCATAATTCTGTAAATAAGCATCAGAAGAAGTCAGAAAGCAAACTTACTTTAAACAGTCACAAGTGACTAATAAATGTGATTCCGTCATCCTGAAAATGTTATGGATGGCGCGAGCTGCTAGTATTTGACGCATTGTTTCATAAACAACATCTGGACTTTCATCAGACTTCACCTCCATAGAGCCAAGAAATCTTACAATAAATAACTGATGCAGAATTGAATCTAAGACAAAGGAAAGCATTGAAAAAAGTGAACTCCATTTTGGGTTTTCCATTCAAAACCAAAGATGGACTGCAGTCGGGAAAACTCCAAACTTCTAGTAACTTGGAAAGAGATTGCTCATATTTATGAATTAAGGGTACAATTACTGAACAGCAAGTCACACATCTTTTTGTTTGGTTTAATGAATACAAAAGATGCAATGAATTATTGTTAAAATAGACTTTCAGGCAGTATCCTGATTTAACTCAACTTGTCTAACACGTTGCTACTGTAACTAAGCGTTCTAAAACTGGTGTTAAATTAGAAGAGAGAAGATACAGATGAAAATAGAAAAATAATTTTCAAATTCTATTTTTTATTTTGCATTGAAATAAAATTTTTGCTTTACCTTCTGTTTCAGATTTTGAGCCTCCAGATTCACCAAAAGGATTTGTGCGTCTATTAAAAAATGAAAACATTAAACCAGGAGTCAGATTACAAGAACCACTAATTAATACTGTAGTAGTCTCATGCTGCATCAAATAAGAACATGTGATGATTTCACAGACTTGTAATCCGGAGGAATAATGTATGATAAATCATAAGGACAAGGAATTTAATCAGGAGTTAAGACATAAATTGCTATAGTTGAGGGCTCAAATTATGGGAGAAATACCAGATATCATTGTTCTACTGCTGCCATAGAGAGTTTTGCTCACATGGTATTTTTTATATCTGGATTAAGCCCAAGACAAGACCTTGTTAATATTTGAAAAGGTGTAGTTTTAGGGGATGAAATTTCACAGAACAGCTTCAGGAAGTACAGCCGAAAGCTAGTCCTTTCAGTACTCCCCAGAAGCACAACACTTCTCATCACTGTCTGAAGTTGCTGAATTACTTACTGAAGAGAAGTCACTGGTTTTGTTTCAAATGCAGCTTTCTGAAAACATCACTGGGGTTTTATTCCTAGAGGGTCAAGAGAAATCTGGCTATTTCTGGCTCTCAAAGACAGAATTGCTATCAGTTACAGTGAAAAGTGAAAATACTCTAGGCTTCCAAGTCTACATTTTTCAAAAGCAGAAAAGCAATGCTGAAAAGAGTATGGGAAATGGGGCAGTTTTATTTAAAACTTCTAAAGAGGAAAAACCCCTTTCTCTTTGGCAAACTGGTAGCTGAAAAACTATTGTCAAGGGTTCAATAAACTTCAAACTGGGTTTTACTGGGGAGTAATGAAGGTGTCACCTCTCAATAGTTAGTGCTCTAAAGCAAATTTCAGAACTAAGAGAAAAAAAGTAGTCCATCTCTCTTGTTCAGTTACATGTCATACTGCCTGCCAGTTTTATTTTGCCAGTGAAATATTTTAACCAAGAGATGTCCAGCTTAACGTAATAAAATTGTTCTGGACTGAACTCTGAAGTCAAGATTACATTGCTATAATGTTTATATAACTTGGACTCAATCAAGAATCATCCATTAAATGCTGACCTTTGTAAATACACTAAAGGGAAATTCTTTCTATTAGCATCTTTTATTGCTCAGACTTTTCTTGTTATTTAAGATCAGACTGCAACAGTAAATGAAAAATCTCACAGGATCTCTCAAAAGACAAAAATAAAATTTAAATATATGTCATCAGTATCAGAAACTAAGGAATTTTTTTTTTTTAATCATTAATACTTCTAAAGTAGCATGTTGCCGATCTGTACAAACTGCAGTTCTTTATTGACAGTGCTGGTTAACTGAAAATACTGAGCACAACTCTCTCATTTCTGCTATGAAAAATATTACTTTCTAGAATGGAATTATAACTGATGACATTAATTTAGCTGAAGTATTTTTCCCACTTCCTGGAATACAGGAGTTTTTCCCACTTCCTGGAATACAGTTCAAATCTAGTTTATATCAATATATTCTTAAGGAACTAATTAGCCAACTGATTATCCTGCTATACCAAACAAAAACAAAAAGAAAACTTGTGGAAAAAAAAAAAAAGAGTTGAATATATATAATTTCAACTCTTATGTATCTGTGAGGTGCAACTGAAAATGCAAATCTTTTTTCTAGAGGGCAGGGGGATATGACACATTATTGTGACTAGAGTCATGTAAATTACGTTTCAGCTTTTTGGCTTTTTTTGTTGTTAAAAGCAGCTGGATCTGCAAATATGTTTTCTTAATATCTGAATTCTGTATATAGTTCCAGAAATGCAGGGCAGAGTTACTGGTTTTTATGATTATTTCTGAGTGGGAAATTTACAAAAAACAAGTAGGAGAAAATGCTTTTATATTTTGGGAAGAGCTCTTAGACAATTTCAACTTGTCTGTATATGAGATTACTCTAGAAGCCTAGATCATTTTCACTCACCTTTCAGGTTAAGAAGAGTGTCATCGTATGCCATCATCACCTGGAGGCAGGGCTACCAAATTTCTCTTGAGTTTCCAAGAGGAAATAACCCAAGCTGCTGGGTGAGCAAGCAATAGGAAAGGAAAATACTTTGTGAAACCAAAAGATTAAAATAAATCAATAAATAAAAGCATTAGCTGTTGAAGCAAGAAAAGCTGCTGCTAAATAGAAAACTACACCTTGAATCTAGTGCATGTAATTAAGCCTTTTTTTTACAATTCTATTAACAATTTAAAAATTGTTTTGCTTCGCTGGCCACTGCAAATTTTGTGACATGAGTCAGGTCAAAGGCAATGTGTGTTTTGGAGCTGCAGCCTAAACATGGTTTTCTTGTTTGTTTGTTTTTAAATGAATAACATTAACCTCAGGAATTTTTTTCCTTCCCTCTACATTTCCTACCTGCCCGACTGCCCTGAAGATTTTGCTTGACCAGGCAGATCTTCACTAACTGGAGATATTATGTCAAACTGTATAGGAGTGTCAGGGGCAACAAGTGAATCCAAGGAAAGTGCCGACAACGCTGCCGATTCAGATCCCAGTGACCCTGTGCTGCTAGTACGAACTGCAGGAGGACGAGATTGTCTAAAACAAAACAAAAAGTCAAAATGAAGATATCTCAGTTTCAGGTTGGTTGATAATAAATTAAACCATATGGGAGACCAATACAATATTTCAAAACTTGGATGTAAACCAAACCAAAACCTAAAACCCTGAAGAAGATCAGGGTATAGTAAACAAATTTGACTAGGAACGTAGACTCCGTTTTTAAGTTAAAGTTAATACTTGCATTAATAATTGCATCAGATTGTATTATATTTCAATTGTGATTATATACTGATGTTAAAACAATCTGACATCTGCTTCCAGGAGTTGGGCGCAATAAGAAAAATCTCGTTATAAATTCATACAACAAACCAGTCATATAATGCAACCAACAAAACCGTCTAGTCAGCTGTAAATCTGGGTTATTTGTAACAATGGATGCTAAATAATTCTGAAAAGGTGAGTTCAAGAAATTTTCCTCTACCCTATCAAAGATTTCATTCTGAACATAGCACGTTTTATGGTTTTGGTTTTTTGTTTTTTTCTTTCCCTGGAACTTTATCCAGGATTCTCTTTATAGATGTGCTCTTCAAATGGCCTATAGTTCATTAACTTACACAGTCGGCCGCATGCTCTCATGCCTCTGCTGAAAGGAAGGAGATGGAGTAACAGCCTCCAGAGCTGACTGATTTACACGTGCAGCAATTTCCTGCAATACAGAGATGGGAAAAATAACTGAAAAACATTTTCCTCAAAATAAGCTTTAAGATTTTTGTTTTGTTTATATGCAATTGACAAGAGTTATAAACTCAACCCTTTGGGAGAATCTTACATTACTAAATTTTCACTAACATAGTTGTAAGTATTTTCTTCCAACTTGTTACACATTTCCTGCTGTTCACTTTCTAAATTTAAATGAATGCGCTTGCTTTATAATAGAATCATAGAATGGTTTGGGTTGGAAGGGACCTTAAAGATCATCTAGTTCCAACCCCCCTGCCATGGACTGAACCCTCCACTAGACCAGGTTGCCCAAAGCCCCATCCAACCTGGCCTTGGAACACTTCCAGGGATGAGGCTCCACAACCTCTATGGGCAACCTGTGCCAGTGCCTCACCATCCTCACAGGGAAGAGTTTCTCCCTAATTTCTAATCTAAATCTGCCCTCCTTCAGCTTAAGGCCATTCCCCCTTGTCCTATCACTCCCTGCCCTTGTAAACAGTCCCTCTCCACCCTTCCTGTAGCCCCTTTAGGTACTGGAAGGCTGCTCTAAGGTCTCCCCAGAGCCTTCTCTTCTCCAGGCTGAACAACCCCAACTCTCTCAGCCTGTCCTCACAGGAGATGTGCTCCAGCCCTCTGAGCATCTCTGTGGCCTCCTCTGGACTCGTTCCAATAGCTCCATGTCTGTCTTGTACTGAGGGACCCAGAGCTGGATACAGTACTCCAGGTGGGGTCTCATGAGAGCAGATGTTGATAAAACCCAGCAATGGAGAAAAGTCCCAGTGATAAGTCAGGCAAAATACGCAAATGTAGCCAGGAAGAAAAAGAAAAATCTCATTTGAGAAATGCAGTCCTCAACTTTGAACTAAAAAGATGAAGATTCAAAAGTCTGCACTTGAAATTTGAGAACACTTAAATGTTTCTGAAAAACCAAGACATGAACAGCTATCAAGTAAGAACTATGTCACAATGTTATTTCAGCAAATAATGGACTGTTTACAGTTGAAGAATTCCATTTTAATCTTTCATTGAAATCACTAATTCTGAAGTACTGGTATTTAATGTTGATGGCTTCACTTCAAATAATCAATTTCTAACTCTTCAAAAGGCAAATAGCTCTTTAATGAAGTGAAAATATGTTTTTCCCAGAAAATTGCTATGCTCGTAACATTCATGTTCATAACATTGTCAGTTCCCTCTAGTAGAAATAAAATGTATCCATCCAAATATTTGTCATATTAATTTGTAGTAAAGTTTATATAAAATAAAAATACAGGATCCTGAAGATGTCAAAAAGTTATGCCAAATATAAAAGTCACATATTTTTAATGCTTTCTGTATAAGCATTTAGATGAAGGAGACAATGGACTGTATGCTTTCATACCATGAAAAGCTGATAATCAGACATGTAGAAGTACTCAGCTTAATTCTATGCTATCCAATTAGATCCAGTTGATCTCTTTTTAATTTTGTGCATATCTACATCTTAACATATAACTGATGCTATAAATTTTAAGAAAGTTACCTCAGGGTTTTCACTTAGATATATCTGTTTCGATATGTTGTTTATGGTGCATATCCACTGAAAAAGAGAGAGGAAAAAAAAAAAAGAAAAAATAATTTTTCAGGTTTTTTTAATAAACTTGATAAAATACCTGAGTTGGCTAGTTTCAGCACCTTTTCCACTTTCTTTGTTATTTCAGGGAGCCAAACCAGTATTCTGCACACATGGGTTGTCATTAAATTCACTATTGTCTGCATACTGCACCTTACAATATCAGATTTTACTTGAAAAAAATATTTTAGTCACACTGAAGATCAAAACTAAAGCAAGCTTAAATCACAACTCTAAGGAATTAAAAAAAAATAAATCAGGATTCTTTGTACTCCATTATTCTGTGACTGCAGATGACATTGTTTCCTCAAGACATTATAAAGGCTCCATCTGCCTTTTGTGGAATTTGCCCATTTCTTGCACCTGTAAGCTAGAATCTGTTTTCTCCCTGTGCTATGGAAAACCATCTGCTCCTGCTCCTTGCTTTTCAACTTTCCTCTGAAGGAGAAAACTAACTGGATTACACACATACTACCGGTGCTGAACTCCCAACTTGTTGTTAGGGTTGTCACCTGAGCTATCTAGAACACAGCACAGCAGCTGCAGCCCAAAAAACCAAATATTTGAGCTGCTAAAGCTGACTGTAAACTCCCTTCCTCCAGTGAGGCATCTGAGGGCAAATGTTTCAGTTAGGCTGTTAGACAACCTCAACAGTGCAAATGAACCAGGGCCAACCTGAGACGGCCAGGTTAAAACCTTAGAAATAGCATAAAAGGTCATTTTATATCAATGTAACATTGAAGATTGCACAGTAATTTGAATCCAGGCTGAAAGTACCATATTTTCTATATTTCCTTATCCAGCTCCTTGCTCACACATATTTTAAATCAACAGTGCTTTTAAAACATTTTCTTTCCCAACCCGCCCCTTATTGAAAAGTCTATGTTGAATAATAATGCAAACAGACATACCTTTTTAATTAACAAATACTTTACATCACTTAGTACATCTGTTCCTTTGTTTCTGGAAAAATCCGAGTGTATGCATAGACTATGAATGTAATGAATCTATTAGTTTGGCCCATCGGTGCAAGCCTTGGAAAGCTGTAAACAGCTGTCCAAATAGAACGTAAATTCTAATAACTAGATCCTTCTCTGTTAGACCAGGACATGCCTATACCATTAGGCTACTATTTGCAAAAAGTCTTGAGAAACTTTTTATTTTCACTTTTAGAGAAAGCTAAAAAAGTAGGGAAAATATATCCCTGCTGGTTGGGTGGGTTTGTTTTTTCCATTTCCCTTCCCCACCAATATCTGCTACAACATCTAAGTTTGCTGACCTAGTATTTGCATACTGACATTTCTCAGCTAGTATTCATCCATTGCATGGACAAGTAAGTCTGCATCACCAGACTTAGCAGCCATTTGGAAATGGTGATCACAAGGAGCTTTGAAAGCAGTCCAAAAGCAAATTATTTCACATTTCTTGATTCAACTAGTTCATGAAGTATGAACATGTTTCCCATCATGCATTGGGGCAAACCCCCAGTTTTTCCTCATTTCTCAACTGTCTGTATCATTATCTGTCTCCTAACCCAAGATTGCCTTTATTTTCCATTCCTGACAAGCAGGTGGGAAGAACAATGGTTGGGACAGCATGAACAGGAAGAAGAAGCAGCAGCATTTGTCGAGATTCCATCACTGCCAGCTATTTTGGTGTGGGCTTTTCTTTTTTTTTTTTTTTTTTTCTTCTTTTTCCCTTTCTTTCTTCCACAATACTGAAAAGGACTTGGTGGCAAACAGAACTGCATTTTTTTTTCTCTAGGATTTAAACAATATTTTGTCAGACGTCTTGAAACCTGTCATTATGGATAGAATGGGTTAAAAGTTTACTGCTTACCACCTAGAGAACATAAAATGAGCACTCCAACTATTGTTACAAACCTATTCCTTCTGCACAACAGAAAATCACTGGACTCCATGTGAACCTCCTATAAGCTTACCTCTTCATAATCTTTTTTACTCTCTGCCTGTAAGATTGAAGACCTGAAAGAAGAGAATGAAAAAGACAATTTTGTAATGCCTCACAAGTACATTCAGACAGGAAATTCCATTTTCATGTTTGTACATTGCACAACAAATTAAGAAAGGCTGAAGATTTCATCTATGTGTTGACTGCAGTCAGTATTTAATTGGGAGGAAAAATATCTATGTTTTCATTTCAATTGAAAATTGAAAAGGAATAAAATTCTAATTGTGCCCACGGAATACTTAAGCACTCACAAAATGTAATAATACACCATTGTGAAATGATTATGGTAATTTTATTCTGAAATACCACTCAGTTACATTATAGAACTGATAAACTAAAAAAAACCCCGCCATTATAAAGTTACAAAGACATCCCAGTTTTTGCTTCTAAATACCTCTAAAATCTATCAAGCTACAATCTGGCCAAAGGTAGACCGTCATTCTTTTCTGAATTAGTGAGTCCAGTATTACTTACAGGTAACAGCAGTGTAAGACTACTTACTTTTTACCATCAAAAGATGTTATCTGAAAACAGTACCGTCTGTCTTCACAGTCCACAGCCATTACAGAACAATTGTCTATATCCATGACAAGTCCCCCAGCTACATCACCTCTTGCCTGGCTCATCAAATTTCCACCTTGAGTGAAGTAAAACTGTCTCTCCCAACTGGAAGATACCAGCCCTGTCTTACTAAAAGGTAAAAAGAGGTTCTTAGTTAGTAGATTAGGAGTTCAGCTGAGCTGTATAAATTAGAAAAAATATAAAATTACTTGGAACAAACCATCCGGGCATTTAAGAAAATTTTTTTCCAGATTTAATCTTTTAGGTTAGCTTTGAAGCTAAAGTAGTCTCTTTCCATCTGTTGGTTTTTTTTCATTTTAAACCTATTGCTGGGCAAAGAATAGATAAAATAGTTGCTTTCTTAGATTATGTGAAACTTAATTTCGAATAAAAAGGCGTAAGTACTGCAGTTTTGATGATCAGCTTTTATGATGTTGCTTTACACAATACGTATATTGAAATTATACACGATAGCAATACAAGCGATAAGACCTCTGAACTCTGCATTTACATTGTTAAGACTAAGTTTTGAAGAACTTTGTATTGAACATTAGCTTAGTCATGCAAGGTACCTCAATTTTCCAAGTATTTTGCACCATTCAGCAAGAGTTGCAAAGTTTTGCTTAGAGCATGCTGTTGGGGTTTGTTTGGTTGTTGTTCCCCCCCTCCCCAAATAACAGAAGAGGAACAATCTGAAACCAAAAATCAGTAACACTTGCAGTTTAGCCTCCCTTTTTGTTCAGATACTCTCTTCAATATTAATTGCTACAATTGTGTTCTACTACAGAAATTCATGCCTCATTCAATCAGTATGTTACTTTAACTGTTGTTGTAAAAGTAATCTACATTTTTAAAAAAATTCCTTCGAGCTTATATAAATTACAGGAAAAAAAAATCTGTTACAACTTATTTTTAATAACTATAAAACTCAGCTAGACTTTAATACTAGAGTAACAGCTCCCTCCAGTGGGCAAAAGACTACCTCATGAAATCAAGAGGCTGTTCAAAGTGTATTTTGGTTAAGAGAGAATGTTTTGCCTTGTACATCTCAAGCTCCTCATATTTTATTATTAACCTGAATCCCAACGCTGTAACAGATACTTATATAACCCTGACAGCTGCAATCTTGTTGTTTTCCAATTACAATTCAGTGAAATTACACTCTCTTAAACTTTAATTTTTCTTTTTGATGTGAAAATTCAGGCATGATTCAACTAAAATCAGGATAACTATGCTTTGCACCTCAATGACACTATGTCAGTGTTACAATGACATTAATACTAATTGAGTGAAGGAGTCCAAAGAAAGAAACAGAATAGCTGCAATGTGACTTGTTCAACTAAGTATGTAAAATCAGCATAGCTAAGTTCAAAAAAAGTATTGCATACTTTCTTAGCTTTCCTTTCCAAAATTAAGTATTCTGGAATTTTTAGGTAACAAGTTAGTCTTACTTTCTTGCATTGAGATACCCAGCTTTCCGTGTTAGATTTCTATGAACAGGAAATTTCGTAGGATCTGGATCAGGCAAATACAGTGGGTCACTAGCTATTTCCAAGTCCTCTATAGTTTGTTGCATGTTTTCTACTTCACATTCCATTTCCCTGCGAACACTAAGGTAAATAATGTGTTATTAACAAAGATAATTTATTACTAAGTAGAAAAAGAAAAAATAATTGTCTTGATAATAGTTCAAAATTCAACAAAAGCAACTTACTTCTGTACACTTGTGCCAATATTGGTCAAAAATTCTTCCAATTGCTCAGTAAGATTTTCTGAACCCATTTTAAAAAAACTTATCTTAAAAAAAAAAAAAAGATGAAAAGGCAGAATTTAGTCATTAATAAAACTACAGTAACAATTAACAGATGAAACCATAGGAGCTTAAAGTTTCTCAGAGAAATCTGGTTTTGTCCCTCATTCCCACCAAAGCCTCTCAACAAAAGGAGCAGAATGCATGTTTTTGTCTGCAAGTGAAGGTTGATTCTCACACTGCAGCAGGATTTCATTGTGTCAAGAGGAAGTGCAGTCACCTGGAGGAAATACAGAAAAATGCAGAAACTGCCCTGGAAAAGAAACAAGGTTTCACCTTTTAGGGATCCCAAAGTCTCTCTATACATAGTTTTCAAGCCCACCAGTTTGCTAACTGTTGTGTTATGGGTGGAGTTATTTGGGGGGCATAGGAGAGGGGAAACCTCTCCTATGAGGACTTGCCTGGGGCCATCCTCTGGACCAACTGTGGACCCTGCCAAGGGGAACTGACAATACGTATCTTCCAAACCGTGTACTCCATTTTGGTCCAGAAAAACTGCCACATCTAAATTGAGTTTAGCCATATGAAGTCTCAGAACAGGAAGCCATGGGGGTGGCCTTGCCCTTCTCATTCTTAGAGTCAGCAAAACCCTGCACCTGAACAACAGGTTGCACTATCTACTTTGTTACAAAAAATATTTAGACCTTCCCTCTTAAATACAAGCTGCAAAGTTTCAAAAAGAAGTGAAAAGTTCTTCTTGGACTTGGAAATCTTTCAGACAGTGTATAGCAGTTAATTTCTACATTGGACACTGTGGCAGTGCCAGATAATGGGAAGTTTGGCTTTTTTTCTTTAAAAAAATAAACAAACCCCCCCCCCCCAACATACTACTAAAAATACAAATTAAGTCTCTCCAAAGAACTTTTTCATAGTTGTATTTTCTATTGCATCCATCCTCAAATAAACCAATCATGAACATACTTATATTAAACAAAAACAAGCCAGAATGATTTTTAGCATTCCAGTTCTTCCACACCCTTGATTGAAAACAGTAGTGATGTGACTTTGATGATTATCTCATCTCAGAATAGCTGCCACAGGAAAGAATTTAACTGTCTCCACTTTCTAAGAACGTACACTTCCACGTGGACTTGCATGCATAAAAGTTTTAATCAGCTATTCCCATTTTCCATCCAGTGGAAAAAAGTACCCAGCAATGAAAATTTAGGCAGAGCATTAAATTTAGCCATCTGGGTTTGGGGATAGAATTCAACCTTTATATTTGTCACCCAGACTTTCCCAAAAGATCCTCCGATGGGAGTGAGGGCATGCCATGATAAGATTCATATATTGAGTGGGAAATGACTAGTGCTAGCTAATGACAGCGTTCATGGCAGCAGCTATGACAGCTGCAGGGATGAGAACTTCTCCATTTCCTTCCTTGGATTACAGAAGAGGTCTTGGAATGCATTTCAGTACATCAACCTTCATGAAGTACTTTTACGTCTTCTTTCAGACCTACAGCCTTCAGAATCTGAAATTACCTGAGCTTGCATGTATCCTAGCAAGGGCTCTAGCATGGCTATTTTCTTTTTGTACTGAAGAGTATTTAATGCACAGAAATAATGCATCATAGTCTGATGCTGTTTTTTCCTGGAAGTATATACATCTTCTGTAACTTCCGCCTTGATCTAAAAAGACACAGACAGGGGAAGGGGGAGAAAGGAATGTTTAAGAGTTGGTATTCATCACATGCCTTCTGGACAGCTTTATAGCCAGCATGGAAAAAACAACACAGTAATGTTCTACCCCCTATCATCAGCAACTGCGTATTTTACCCAACAATTCTGCTTCTCTAAATTATACATGGAGATACACAAAAAACAAATACAGCATTCTTTTCTCCCTGGAAAGTGTGGTTATTTCTTTACAAAAATAAATTGAATATAGTATCACAACCTTAATCTTAGAGCATTTTCAGTGTTACAAGACAGGCATGCATTGGGGAAACCTGCTTCTCTGTTCTGAAGCAAACTGTCTGGACTGCTAAAACATAAACTATCAACCTTCAACTGAAATCTGCCATACAGTGTCTTCCATCATAAATATATACATTAGATGAAAATTATTTCTTATCTCCTCTAAAAATCTTTTTGTTTTACGAACCTTTTCATTTTCTCTTCTTTTTGACAACCGACTGTATCTGGTAATGGCAGCATCATGGTCTAAGCAATCAAGAGAGAATTTATGATCATTTTGATAAATTACTTACGACACAGAGCAGAAAACCTTTTATATCACTGTGCATGCACAGCCAGCTGAATGCGAAGTTCTGTCATATTAAAACCTTTAAGAATTGTTCTTGCCTATTTATAATTACTTCACTGCCACAAATACTTGGGCTGAAGAAAAATTCTAACCAGATGCAAACATGGCCAAGTTGTTACAAATTTCCCTAAACACCTAATATTCTTCAAAGACAGAACGTTTCTATAAGCAGAGACAACTTTTCATTATGAAACCCTGTATCTAATCTTTCTTGCTTCTAAAGCAATGAAGCAATTTACATTAAGAGAAGCAGAATCCTTCCTTAGACCTTACTTAGACCTTAGAATATGTTCTCTACAAGGATATAGGAGAGCTAGCTAAAAAAGTAACTTCTGACAATAAGGAAGAGAACATCAAACTAATTTTAGGGAGGTAAAAGTTGTTTATTAATCCAGTTCTGACTTTAAGAAGTGAGCTAGCACCTTACTATTTTTAGTAATTTTGGTAGCATAATCCTAAATTATTTTATAATTGTATATACATTTAAAGTATTGTAAAAAAGACTAATATTGTCAATTTGCCTTAGCACTTAAGTACACAAAGCAGGGATTTACAAGTGAACTAAGGAAAGCTGGGTGCCTAAGTATCACTGAAAAAAATTACACCTTAATTAGTCACATTAAGCCGTGCAAATATCTTCACTAGTTTTGAGTAAATAATCTACAATAATACTGTGAACTCGTAATATCTGTAACATTACGTATTTTACACTTACCATTGCTTGCAATTTGGAAAACTTCTTTTAGAGTTAATATCTCTATAAAACAACATAACACAATTTAAATAAGTTGTTATTAACGTAACATTTATAGATTATATTAAGGTTTCTCATCCAATGTTTCACTACTGAACAGTTGTAGTTCACACCTTGTACCACACTGAATTAACAGTGGCACTATATGGCTCCTACTTAGGGCCTGAGTATCGTTTATGTGGCTGTCTGGATAACCAAAAAAGATACTGTACTGTAATATGTTAAGGAGGAACTTCCTTTCAAAAGATGTTGAAAGAGATCACCAATACAATGTGTCACCTACAGTTCTGGTCAGAGTTCTGGTCTGAGTTGGGGACATAGAAGCACAGGAGACAGGGAAGTATCACTGGATCAAAGGAAAGCCCCAAACACATTGTGATTCCTCCTACCTAAAATTAATCATGGTCTAGATAGTTACTTAGTCTCACTGTGTCAGGAAACTGTACGATACTTAGCACTTGTTCGGATCTTGATTGTGGTTTTGTGTCATATTACAACATAAACAAGCAGAGAGCGACGTTCAACTTTATGGTAAAGCAAAGACAAAAAAGCATGGAAAAGCTTTACAGAAAGCGCCTATGAAATCCATAAAGAAGTCTGGTATCATTGAATACTACATCAGTTGGTGGTTAAAAAATTGCAGTGGGAAAATTTAATTTGCAACTATTGCCTCAGGGATGCTTCTTCGGTAAATATTAACAGGAGTTTTTTTGAGGTTCTGAGGACTAATATTAGCCTTGAGATAGTCATGTTTCCTTGCTCAAAAAGCATAATCTATTTAATCCATAATTTTGCAACAAACTATTGCCAAAGAAGTATTTTCCAAGATTCATAAAGAGCTAGAAGTCTTATGGAAGAATTATAATTTTTATTTCAATTTAGACTTAAAGCGTTCATATGTTAGGTATACCCACTCTAGGATGTTCACATTAGGGATTTAAGTTATTTTAGTTTAAACTCTTACAATTTCTATTTGAAGCCCATTTGCCCCACCAGTCTATTCACTTTAGCATCTTGAGTAAAATCTGTCATACTCAGACACATTATATATTATTTTAGACCAGGCAGAATAAGATACAACTGTTACAGAAATAAGAATTTGGAAGCATCTTATGCCTGCATGTAAGAAGCCACCTGTATTACCAGCAGGGTTGAAGAACCACCTTACTAAATCTTAATAATATAATAAGTACTACAACTTCAGCACTTTGCCTTTTGAGTTTAGTCCAGCCACTATATTGATGTTATGGTATTATAATATATACAAATATTTATTGAATATGCAAATTATCTGAAAATTAGTCTTTCCTAATGTTTACAGTAACTGCAAAATTTTAATCTGGAATAGAAGTGCTTCCATAATATAAGTAATATTTTTGTTGGAACACTAATAGTGTTAAGTTCTTCAACTGTAATACTCTCATGAATACAAATAACTTTTTTTTTTTTTAATTCAGAGGTGCATACTTTTGAGAGCTGAAAAAATAAGCAGTGTATTCTATTTAGTGAAACAAGAGCTATGAAGATCAAATGCAATGTTTTTGTTATTGCTGCTGTTGATAAAAACAGTATTTGTTTGAGCACTCTACCTTTTAGCTCCCTTTCTTTAAACTGGGTAATAGGAAACATCATTGCATCCGCAAGTTGAGTTGAAAGTACTGCATGGCAAGAGCTGAGCTGTAAAAGACAAAAGAAGGAAGGAAATTTTATGAAACCACTGCTGAGATATAAAATAAATAAAAAAAATTTAAAAATAGGTTGACATTGACTTCACTCGAAGACGACATGTATAACTCAAACATAATTTTGCACATTCATTTTTTTGCAGCTATTCTTTTCTAGGTTCCTGATCTCATCACCAGCTTTTTATAGAAGACCTTTAGAGTTTAGTAATTGTTCCTACTTTTCCAGCTTTATTCCAAGTTACTGGATCATGTCAGAAGATGGCCTCAAACATTCTGATGACTAGTCTACTTATTTCTCCAGTTTCCCTCCAGCTACATCACAGCCCATCTTTCACAGGTTACTGAGGTACAACAAATGTGTTCTTCCTCCCAAAATGCTGTTGAAGTTGTGTTAAAATTGAGGAGAGGGATCACAGAAAAAATCCTGATTCAGATCTGAATGGTGCTAAGTTGTCTTTGAGAAGAGTCAGTCTCTGTCTCCAATACAGACAGCAGGACGTTCCATCGTCAGTCGGGTATCTGAAATCAGGCTATACAACTATCCTCATGAAAAACAGTCTCTAACTGCCATTCTGTAATGTTTTTTGGTTGCATCTACAGTAAGTTAAATGACATCCTTTCTCAACAATGTATCCTCATTTTGCCAAATTAATTCTTTATCTTCAGGTTATATAACTTTAAATATATGCTGTAATATACAATTAAGTGTTACCTTATTGACAAATGAAAGTATTTCTGTACTTCCTGTTTTAAGAAAGGCTGAAATAATTAAGCAAGTTGAAGTCTATACATGACAACATTAGCAAAATAAGTGAAACAAATACAAGTACTTGCCTCATCTATCACTTTTGCAAATTGCTGTAAAGTGGAAGTCATAACTTCATCATCTCCCCCTAGTGGAAAACGCTAAAAAAAAATAAAAGGAGGCATGTTGTTGTTTGCAGCATCTTCTGCCTTTCACAAAGCTATATTAATCATGCCTATGAATATACTAGGCATTCCATTATTTTGAAATATTATACAGTTAAGATACACTGAAGCACTTTATTGTCCTGTGAAGAAGGAATATTGCAGGGGAGCTAAGTGTGTGTAATAAACAATTCTCATTTTTTTAAAATAGTCTATTTTTAAAATAGATTCATTAATCTAATTAATAGATTTTATTAATTAATAGATTTTTTTAAAAAAAATCAGGAAAGATAGACTTGACATCTACAAAGATTTTTATCCAGCTTTACAAATTATTTTAAAATCCTCAAAAAACAAGCAATATTTGGTGTTCATCTTAAACTTCTAGCTTTTAAATTATGTGATTATGTGAAATTTTTAAACCATTCAAAAGAGTTCACTTCTATAATGCCCTGATGGAGGCAAAAGCACGACCAAAATGGTCACAACTGAAAAAAAGAAATAATCCAGTTAAAACACTATTTGTGTATTTCCAAGCTAATTGCCTGACTGGGAAAAAAGCAGTCAAAAGGAGACAAATCAGAATAATAAATTAAAGGGTCCAATGCAAATTTAATTCTTTTAATTCACAGCAGTTGTACATAAAACACTTGGGAATATAAAAATCCCAACTTCTTTATTAAAAATTTTGAGCACCACCCTCCAGCTTGTTAGGTTACCCCCTCCTTCTCAATAAATGTAACAAACTGTAATTGAAATAAGGATATTTGGTGTATATTTTGATACCTGTAACTGCTAACAAATAAGAATACTGTGCCCTAATTGGTTCTTCTAATCTGAAGCTAGTTCTTTTAATTTTGATTTTGCAAATACTATATTTTTGCTAGAAAATGCCATAAACAATTCAAATGACAGTACTGCAGTTCCTAAAAAAAAAAAAAAAACACAACAAAAAAACCGCAACCAAACCAAAAACCAGCAGAAATAATTTAATTCCTGCTACAATTTGGAGTGTGCACAGACATCTTAAACAGCATTTCCAGTCTGTCATTAGGAATATAAGAGGGTTTTTTTTAAAAAAAGACACTCTAAATTTCTCTCTTTCTCCATCTCTTCCTAATGGTCCTACTGAAGGTATGCATACTCACTATTCTTTTGGATCAGCACCACTGTGGTTTTGATCCTGTCTGCATTACACCTATTCGTTAGCAAAAATTAGCAAAAGAAAAACAAAGTGTCATCTCACCCCTCTAGAAAGATTTGCCAGACCAAAATAATTCATAAGTTGTACTTTTTCCAGTTCAGCTCATTAGGCAGAGAATGAGGATAGGGTAGCATCCTTAAAAAGAGTGACTTTTTAAGATGCATCTCGGAGAAGGGGTCCCAGCAGCCTTGCTACAAATAGGAAACACTTCATAGTACAGCCTACCGTAGAGAAAGTTATGGATTCCACAGTCTGTGCTTTCAGAGATGGAATTATTCTCACAATAAGAGTAAATTATGGTTGTTAAACAAAGACTGCTATGCAATCTCTTCTCTTTGTGACTAGTAAAATTAAAGCACTTAACAGTAAACAGGTCTATAAAACAAAAACAAAACCCCACCACTACCCTAAGCAACCCCCAAAACACTGATCCAAAAGTAAAATAGTCCAGAACTTACTAATACTCATCAGGGTAAGAGGAACTTCATTCTGGTTTAGTTGGAAGAACTAATATGAAGACAGTAGATTATTTTGGCAAAGATTAGAGCCACCAACTACAGCAGTTCGTTCTATCTGGACCAAACCTAAATACATTCTACAGTGTGCTCTGGGAGATAAAAGACTACAAAAATACACAGTCCTGACCACACAAAGACAACAATGATTTACACAGTACCTGTTTCTCATATTCCTTCAGAAGCTTTGAAGTCAGATGAGTTGCTGCACTTAATTCATTCTGATTTAAAAACAAAAAAACTAAGCTTGTTACTTCTTGATTTAAATTAATAATAAAAAAAATCACATATTTGAAACTATTATAGATGTGGAACTTAAAATCTGACTACAGATTTTCAGAAAACCTAAGCATCCTGCCCTTCCATTTCTCTAATATTACTGAGAGTTACAGGTTATCCATGTTTACAAATACCAAGTTCACAACCTGTACTGTGAATCCAATTTCTGGATTTTTCATATTATGCAGTGCATGTTTGCATTTAATTATTTCAAATTAGCTGCCCTAGTTACTGAGTATTAGGAATTTGTTATCTGTAAGGGAAAGAAAATATTACAATGAACCTCAGTACTACCTGGTTACTACCTGTACTTGTACACAGACAGGACCTAATTAGCAGATTCATGGTATGGGACAACTTCATCTTTCATAAGGCAATTGAAGGAGAAAGGACAGAAATTAAAAGCTAAATAGAAAGACAGTAAAATAAAACTACATAGCAGCAGATGGGAAACATTTTAGAAACACTTAGGAAATACAATAAAACTACTAGAAGACCAGAAAATCTTTTTACATGTCATAAGAAATTCTGTTGCAAAAGAAATCATAAGAATTTAGTCTTTAAAAGTCCCTAACATAGAGAAAAAGCATTTAATTCTTATTTTAAGTTTTAAAAAAATATTGCTTGTAATAATTTCAGAAAAAGGCAAGACACACAAAATGTGACTCAAAAGCCTTATAATGCATCCAGGAATTTCTTAACACTACCTGTGCATCATATATTCTGTGCATGGCTTGAAATAACTGATTGATGTAATTGGAAATTGCAGCAGCATCTTCTTCAAATACTCCCAGCAAAGACCGCGTCTGTAAAAATGAAAGAGTCAAAACACTAACATGTCAAGTTAGCAAAGTAGTATTTAAATGTAACAGAATTTCATTGTTTCAGGTTTATTACTGAAAAGTTTGTAAACACGCCAACACTGTTTACAGGAATGACACTCCATGCCAGAGAATCTTAAAGATAACCAAGCTCAGCCTCACTCCTATGGTCAGCCGCTCTCCAGGTTAATACGAGTACATTTTCAGAAAGGAAAGGACCAAGGGAGATGGATAAGTGTATAAAAAAGTGATGCGGGCAACTACTGAACGCACTATGGTTCATCCCAAAGGAAAAGGCTAAAGATGACTGGTATTAAATAGCATGCCAGGTATATACATTTCTTTTGCTGTGAGACCAAAACAAAGGCTGTGGCTTTCTGATACCATCCATCCCACACAAAGAGAGTTGCTGGCTGTGCTTGGACCTGTGCAGTAACAGTCAATTCTGTGATCAAAAGGCTGAGGAACTAAAAGCCAAACCAAACCAGAAGAGTACAACCTACATCTTATTGTTCTTAAAAAACATTTCTCCCCCTCACCACAGTGAAAGGAAGTGAGGATCTGTCCTTTTGTCCTTACCCCAGCTTGTCAGTCAGTCTGTTCCTTAGCTGGTGTCACCCACGAGCTTGATGACTATGTATCCTATTGCACTGCCCGCATCACTGATGAAGGTGCTTAACAGTACCCACCTCGAAATCAACCTCTTTATCATTGTCCACCTATTAAACTTCAAAACACCGATCACTACTGTTTAAGCCCAACCATCCAGCCAGTTTTTCCACTCAGGTTGTAGTCCATACTTCTCCGTTTTGGCCAGAAGGATGTTACCAAGGACCGTGTCAGAATCCTTGCTTAAGTCAAGGTAAATACCATCCACTGCTCTTCCCTGTGATGAAATGACTGACTCGGAATGAGAAGGCAATCAGGTTGCTCAGGCATAATTTGCCCGTAAGCTTAAACGAGATGCTGATTCAGTGTTCTTGCATCCTTTTTGCGCTTGGAAGCGGTGTTACTCCTCACCACAAGGATATCAAATAGCTTGCTTCCACCAAGACAAAAAACCAAAAGGGGGAAGGAGCAGAGAATGTATCTGTAACTCTGCACAGGCTACGTTTGCTTTTCCTCATCTAAAATATTTGTTGGGATGCTTGGATGTAGAGACAGGGGTATTGCTTGCAAGACCCACAAAATAAACCCTTTAACTCTAGTAATGTTTTACCAAGAGGACTGTGCTTTGTTTTTATTTTTACACTAAAATTAACGTCTAGACAGAAAACACAAAGAATCGTAACTACATAACTGTTTTTTTTTTTTCCCCAAAAAATATGATTGTTAAACACTTGAAATTGGAAATTCTCTTTCTTAGTCTTGCCTAGGCTAAATAACTGTACTTATGGGACCTATAAGAGAAGGAACTTATGGGACCTGGGAAAAGAATGAAAGACTGACACAAGTCTGGACATCAGGAAAACCTCTCTGATGAGATTAGCAAAAAGCACTGGATTGCACTGCATACAAATCGTAGGGGTTTTATTATTAGAAGTTCTCACTATGTCAAAGACTTGTCAAAGACTTTAGTCCATCTCCCCTTGAAGCACGGAGGTCTTTTTCAGCTACTTTTCTGATTTTCTGCTTTTAATGATAATCAAGGAGTACATATTAAACCTGTATAAAGTATATTATTTGACCATTCTTTTGCTATTAAATTCTTTTATTTAACTTTAATTGGATACCTGGTTTTGTCTCACAAATATGATCATACCATATAATGCCTTCAAGATACGTGAATAAAAAATATATAATCAAACATCATCATCAACACAATAAATCACTTTAATGGTGGTTCTAGCTTAGAAAACAAGTGGAAAAGGGGGGTGGAGGAGGAAAGAGATGGAGGAGAACTCAAATGTCTGCCAGGTGTGGCAACATGTTGTGTCATCCTAATAGCTGTGACTGTCCCATTGAAGGAGACACACATGAAAGAATGCAAAATAAAAAATTACATAGTACCATAACCACTGAATTATATACTCATGACCTTTAAACTTGAACATAACTAAACCTGAACTTGTAATTTTAAAGGAATATCATGTAAGGTTTCCGGATTATGCTTACTCTTTAAAACTGAACACTGTAGAATAAAAGCATATTCTGTAATAATAATTCTGTAATAATAACCTGAAACTGTAAACAAGTTATGGCAGACTATTGTTTAGAAAAAAATTAGAGGAATTGTTTACTCATGCTTCTGGTAAAACTGCATCATTTTCCATGTTCTTTAAGATGCTTTCATTCCAGAGCAGGTAAACTAGAAACTACCAGTGATAAGCTGCACAAAGAAACCATGTTAGAAGTCAGTGAATTATTAAGCATTCTATGTCATCATACGTATGCTAGTGTAACTGACATCAAGTCTCTTGGCTTTTTTATTGTGCAATGCTTCAGGAATGCAAATAAGTCTGAAGAGAAACTCTCTCTAAATACATATATAAACACTATGTGTGTAATATATGTCCTAAGTTAATATTTAAATTGCACTGTTTTGCATAGCAAAAGACAATGTAAAGTGGTATTTGGTTTACATCTAAAAACACAGTGGTTAGATTTTTATTCTGCGACGACAGGAAATTAATGGGTTTTGCCATTTTAGAAAAGCCTTTCCTTCCCTCAGATGCAGAATAAGTTTGATACGATGTTTATATACCTAAAGTTGGTGTCTGAAACATGTCTAAAGGTGCAAAACTCCAGTCCACAGTTCAGCACTAAACAATGACCTAGGCTGATGATCTTTTTCAATATTTCAATTATTTTTTTCAATATTCAAAGCATGAACACATCAATCAGAAAGTCACAGGAAGGTTTTTTCTTTCTTCAAGCAACATTTGTTGCCACTTTCCTTGCAGTGGTTTCAAAATAACAGAAATTAACTAAGGTAATGGAAGACTATAAAGTCCTAGTTCTGTTCTTCTAAGAGGTGGTTATCCAAATTAACCTGAAATATTTGGCTGGCTGAAATATGTAAAATTTTGTACCTAAAATAGAATATCAGCAAATCTAATAGCTTAAGCACATCAAACTTATTGGGCTGAGTTAGGCTTTGCTAGAATGTATCACAAATAAACTCAAATGAAAGATTCTAGAATTTATAATTATGTTCCAATATGTAACTTTTTTGCATGCTTCCCAAATGACATTCCAGTGCTTGGGAAAAAACCCAATAAATTCTACATCTCACTTTTTAGGGATCCTAAGTTTATCTTACGTTTAATATTTCCTATAAATACGAATAATTCTGACTTCTGTATACTGAGAACAGACCTTCAAGAGATAATTTTGTGAAATTACTATTATTATAACACTTTAAAGAAAAATTTCCTCTTCATGAGAGTACATCAAGTTTAGTTTCTGGGCCAGAGACCAGGCTAGATCTCATCTAACATCTAGTATTTGAGCTATACTGGGCACTGTCCTTTGGAAAGCAATGATACACTTTCTGCATAGCTGCCTTCTGTTGCCTTTTCTAAGTCATCCTTCCACTTGATGGAGATTTGTTAAAATGGTTATTTTAGGGCTTAAAATTCACTATTAAGCAAGTGAAAGTTTCTCTTCCTCTGCTTGAGGAATCAAAACCACCAATGTATGTGCTATTACAATATATGAAGTCTTGCTTATCTACATAAGCTATGCAGCAAAGCAAGGATCTTAATTCAAAAGGCTGCAATAAAAGAAAATAGATTGTAAACTTTTTTTTTTCCCACATCTAGGAAGAGCAACTTGCTGTTGTCGCTGCCAGCAAGAGAAACCAGTGCAACTGAATAAAGCATTTCCTACTTAATAGTAAATGAAAGAAATGCCAATGCAATATATGGCATCACTGACAAAGGTCGAGCAGCAGAAATGGAAGTGCAGATATCAGAGCAATTAAAGGCCTCTCCGCACCACGCGTTTCCCACCTACTCAGGCATTAACAACAGCCACGATAACCTCATCTAATAACTGCTTTTCATACGTATCTATTAAACCTTAACGCGGTTTTAGTAAAAGGCAAAGATAAGAAAAATCGCCTTGGTAAGTGAAGACAGGTTTTGTCAACACGAGGTCTCCAAAATAAGTCATGAATGTAAACGCGGGGGTGGAGAAGTAAGGGAGTCAATGCAAGCTGCTACCCTGACGCCCGATGCTGAAGCACAGCGCCTCTGGAAAATCGTGACCGAGCTCGCTGCTTTACAAACAGCTCGCCCGCCCGCGGGACACCCGAGAAGACACGGCGATGCAAGCGGGACGAAGGCGCCGCGGAGACCGGAGCCACACCTCGCAGGGGGCACTGCCGAAAGTTGACAGCCCGAGAGCCGTGACTGCTGGCC